GCTACAAATGGCTGTGCAAAGTGCGTTTATATATTTTAGAAATTGTGTGTTTTCAAGTTTTTAACTTTGTGGGTGTGCTGCTTTATTATTTGTGCCTTTTTTATTTTAGTAAATTGAATATTATTTCAAAATGTTTGCTTTTGTAGATTGGATAAAAAAGAGCTAATATTGTTAGATTAATTTCTAAAGTTCAGAAAAGTGAATTTGAGAGGCACAAATATGAACATATGTATTAATATTGAAAACTGATCCATTACTGCTGTGAAAGTACTTACCATTATGTTACTTTATGAAAATTGTATTTCAATTTATTTATTGCCAGAGTAATTGATTACTATTTTTCAAAATACATGTTTACACCTGGCCTAATTGGTGGTAGGTAGTCATCAGGTGAATATTTATATAAGTAATAACTTTTTTTATGTTACAGGCTTCGGCGCTGGAACCCGGGATCAGCGTTCCACCTGTCCTTGTGGTAAGTGCTACTCATTCCCAGGCCGACAACAGGTATGCTGCATTTTCCCGTAATCACCAGTGCACATGCATGGCACTCACATTTTTAGCGTACCACAATGAGGGGTTGCAGTTTGACACAGTGTTGCTTGACAGAGTGATTGAAAAAGGAGACCAACTTTATGTCGGTGTTAAACAGCAACTGATCAGTGATGGAACGTTTCGTGACAATCACTTAACGTTTGAAGAGATGCCTGACCATGTGCTGACAGATGGGAACATCTATGCAGTACACACAACTGGTTTAAGGGTAGGTCATGTTTTTGCTAGTAGCGGGAGCCAATTTGGTTTGCCTCTTGCCCTGCAACTGGAATGCCTGATGGAAAATGTCACCCATGCTTTTCTTTTGGTGACTCCAGAGTGCATTGCAGTTTTCAGGGACAGAAGCGGTCGATTTGGAGTTTTTGATTCCCATTCAAGAAATTTCGCTGGCCTGCCCCAACCCAGCGGAACTGCAGTGATGATGACTTTCTGCAACCTGTCTGACATGGTCAACCATCTGCTGAAGCTCTTTCGAAACCGCGGCCCCAATGCCACCTATGAGTTTGTGCCAGTAGGTTTTGTCAGGGAAAATGACAACCCTTCTGAGGATTTGGCCTTTCAGAACATTTCACCTGGAGCCACAAAAGTAAGTCCAACTGTTTTCAAACCAGAGAGCACCTCTGAAGAGAAAATGCCTCCTTGGCTTAGGGAAGTTGCAAACGTATTAGAGGAAACGATTCCAACCGTTCCAAATGTGTCAAAAGTTCCAAAAGTGTCAAAAGTTCCAAAAGCCAATAGAAAAAAAATTAGGAACAGAATAAAAACGGAACAGGGACAGAACATAGTAAATAAAATTAAACAACGTTCATCTGAAAAAGAAAAATATCTAAAATCTCCAACATTTAGGACGAAAAAGCTACAGGCCTTAAAAGAAACATACATTCTTCATCAAGCAGAGAGGAAGGATCAGTTAAAAGATAGATATAGGACTGATGAATCTTTCCGGAAGCAACGAATAAATTACATTAAGTACAGATTCAACTTTGTCCACAGCTTCAGAGCCAGTCATAAAGCCCACATGGCTGAGTATATGAGTAAACGTTTCAGAGATGACCCTGCCTTTAGAAACAGAAAAAAATCATACATTAGGGAAAGACTCAGAGACGATCCGGTCTTTAGAAACAGAAAAAAATCATACATGAGGAATCGATTCAGAGATGATCCGGTCTTTAGAAGTAGACAAAAATCATACATTAGGAATCGATTCAGAGATGATCCGGCCTTTAGAAGCAGGCAAAAATCATATATCAGAAATCGATTCAGAGATGATCCGGTCTTTAGAAGCAGGCAAAAATCATATATCAGAAATCGATTCAGAGATGATCCGGTCTTTAGAAGCAGACAAAAATCATACATTAGGAATCGATTCAGAGATGATCCGGTCTTTAGAAGCAGACAAAAATCATACATTAGGAATCGATTCAGAGATGATCCGGTCTTTAGAAGCAGACAAAAATTATACATCAGGAATCGATTCAAAAACAGTCCAGTCTTCAGAAGGCAACACAAAAAAAGAATGCGTGAATATATGAAGGTGAAGTATCATAGTGAGCCTGCTTATCGAGTCAAACATAAAGAAAAATGTGCTGCCAATAGAAGAGATAGGCTATCAAAACAAGTACTTTCCAAAAATTTGACACTGCAGCATGCTTTGCGAATCAGAAGGAAGTACAGAAGAAATGTAGGCTTTCACTTTGAAACTCCACGGCCTTTGATGAGTGACGAAATGAAAGCTGCAATACAAAACTTTCATAAGAACATACAAAACGGACCGACATATGTTTGCACCGTGTGTCACAGAGCTCTTTTCCCCAATCAAGTAAAGCAATGTAAACGAGATAAATATACCAAGAATATGCGTGTAGTAGCTGATTGTCTAACAGGTACGTATGTTCATGTGTGGAGCTGTGTGCTCAACCCCTTGTTCTGTACCTGAAGAGAGGATGGGGGAGTGGATCTGCTACACATGTGACAGCCATCTAAGTAGAGGAAAGATGCCATCCATTGCGGCTGCCAATAACCTTCACTTGGCTCCTGTTCCCGTAGAGCTTGCGGAATTGAATGTACTTGAAAGGCAATTAATTGCAAAAATTCTGCCTTTTGCAAAAATTGTTTCCTTGCCCAAGGGACAGCAAAGGGCAATACATGGAGCAGTTGTCTGTGTTCCTTCTGACATGGAAACTGTTGTAAACAGTCTTCCGAGGCCCCGTGAGGAAGCCCAGCTTTTACAGGTGAAGCTGAAGAGGAAAACCAAGTACAAAGGTTACCAGTACTTTTACACAGTCAACATGAAAAATGTGTTAGCTGGACTGAGAAAGCTTAAAGAGAGTCATCCGGATTACAAAGAGGTAAGTATAAATGAAAACGCAACATTTGAGAGTTTTCAAGAGGATGAGCAAGTTGAGGACTTGGATACAAAAGCAGAGGAGGCTGAAATGGATGCAGCAGCAGACCAGCAACCTGACCACATAGGGGCAGAGCATCAGGCACTTCGACCTGGTCTGATCTTGGACACCTGCATGCAGCCTCCTGACATTGCACAGGAAGTATTATCATATGGAGAAGGAATTTTCAGCATTGCACCGGCCCAGGGGAATAAGCCCATCTCTTTCTTCAGTGTTCCGAGACTTGAAGCCAAGGCTTATCCTGTACATTTCCCAACTGGCGTAAACACGTTAGATGAATCCCGCCGTGTTGCACTTTCACCGAGTAGGTATTTCAATGTACGACTGTTCTCTATAGATACTCGCTTTGCAAAAGACCAGAGTTACCTTTTCTTTGCTCAATTTGTTACAGAAACTAATATGGCCAATGATAGCATGTCCATTCAGACAAGAAAAGGGAAACCAAGCACCAAACAAGGGAAAAATATTTCCAGCAAAATGCTACAGGACAAAGAGGAGTTGGACAAACTCATACAAAATAAAGAGGCCACTCGTTTCATGCAGCCTTTAAGAGGAACTCCTGCTTACTGGGAAAAAGGATTACGTGATTTGCACGCCATGGTGAGGCAACTTGGAAAGCCCACTTTCTTTTGCACGTTCTCTGCTGCTGAAATGAGATGGCCAGAAGTCATTGAGGCGATCAAAGCTCAACATGGAGAGCAGGTAAGTTTTTCTGAGCTTGACTGGAATGCGAAGTGTGACATTCTTAGGAGCAACCCTGTCACCGTCATGCGCATGTTTGAAAAGAGAGTGGACGCATTGTTTAGAGACCTCATTCTTTCCCCTGCACAGCCCATTGGACCAGTTGAGGATTACTTTTATCGCGTGGAATTTCAAGCCAGGGGTTCACCCCATATACATGCTGTGATATGGATTAAGGATGCACCTGAAATGGAAGACCCTGCATGTTGCGGTGAAGTCATAAAGTTCATCGATCGTTACATATCCTGTCAGTTGCCTGATGAAATCAGAGATCCAGAGCTCCACAAAATTGTAACAGAGGTTCAAATGCACAGCAAAAAGCACTCAAAGTCTTGCAAAAAAGGTAATGTTGAATGCCGATTTGGATTTCCCAAACTACCGATGGACCGCACTAGAATCACCGTCCCAGTAATTGACTTTGATCTCGAAAATGATGAGGAAAAACCAAAACAAATTAAGCAAAAAGGTAGGAGAAAGTCCAAAAAATCCAGATCACTATTCATCTCAAACCTGCAAAGAGAGGCTAAGAAGAAATTGAAACCAATTAGGGATTTACTGAAGGATGAAAAATCATCTTTTAGGGATTTGTCAGAGTTACTCCAGGCTTGTAACATGACCAAAGAAGAGTACATTGGCCACGTCGATGCTCTCACTTCTGGAATGGTGGTAATGATGAAACGTGATCCTAAAGATAGTTGGGTGAATGGGTACAACCCTGATCTTTTGCGTGCGTGGAATGCCAACATGGACATTCAGTATGTGCTTGATGAGTACAGCTGCATCGAGTACATGATGTCCTACATAGCCAAGCCAGAGCATGAAATGGCGCAATTCCTCAAATCTGTTGTTGATGATTTAAAGGCGACCAATGTTAGCGAACGCGATGAAATGAAAAAGATTATGCAGGCTTATTCAAAACAGAGAGAGGTTAGTGCTCAAGAATCGGTTGCGCGCACTTGTAGCCTACCTCTCAAAAAATCCTCGCGTAATGTTCTTTTTCTTCAAACAGATGAAGACGGTGTAAAAATGAGCCTTCCAATGAGTAAACTCGTGAACATGTCTCCAGATGAGGAAAATGTGTGGATGACAGGATTGCCGGAAAAATATCTAAACAGACCAGAAACGTTAGAATTCGAACACATGTGCCTGGCAGAATTTGCATCAGAATACCGCGTTTTATATGGCAATCAAATTCAAGGGCCAAATGCTATTCCCCTACTTAATGATGCAGGATTCATCCAGAAAAGAACGATGGGCAAACCTGCAGTTATCAGATTTACTCGTTTCTCGGAGAAAAAACACCCGAAAAATTTTATAGACGGCTTCTAAAGTTATATTGTCCACACAGAAGAGATGAGGACCTTAAAACTGAGGAACACACAACCTACGAAGCATTTTACAACAACGGTTTCCGTGGTAGATATCAGGCTAAAAAGTATGTGGATTTCAACCGCAAAAGGTATGAAGGGCAGGGTAAAAAAATTGACAAAATTATGGAAGAATTGAAAAAGCAAGGACCGGTTCGTAATGCTTGGAACACTTTTGCGCCAGAGGTTGAATTAGACAATTTAGAATGCGCTGCTGAGCGACCACCATTTGAAGAAGATGAAGAGCAAGACCCTATTCCAGATTACGAAATTGATGTCAATATTGGAGACATGCCAAAAATTGAAGCTCCAAAATTGAGCCCTGATTTCATCAGACAAATGTACAGGAGTTTAAACGAGACTCAAGCATCCGTGTTTTACACCATTCGCGATTGGTGTCTGAAGCGCGTCTGGGGTGACAACCCAGAACCTTTCTTTTATTTCTTGACAGGAGGAGCTGGCTGTGGTAAATCTCATGTCATCAAATGTGTTTACCAGGAGGCAACCAAGCTCTTGCGCCAGCTTCCTAGACTTCTTGATATTGGTGACATGTCCAAGCCCACTGTGCTTCTTACAGCTTTTACTGGTACTGCTGCGTACAACATATCGGGGAAGACTTTACATTCCATCTTGAAACTACCCAAAAGTTTAAAACCACCATACAAGGGTCTTGGAAATTCATTGGATGAAGTGAGGGCAGTTCTTTCTAGTGTGGAAATCTTGATCATTGATGAAATCTCCATGGTCTCCAAAGACCTGCTTGCATATGTTCACTGGAGATTTCAACAAATAAAGGGGAACAACAGGTTCATGGGTGGGGTCTCTGTTCTTGCTGTGGGGGACTTCTTCCAACTTCCTCCCCTTGGACGGGCAAAACCTCTTTGTGTCGCCGAGGACGGCATGCTTGATATCTGGAATGAAAATTTCCAGATGATCAGCCTGACCGAAATCATGCGGCAGAAAGATGACAGAGCATTTGCGGAGCTCCTGAATCGGATTAGAGTTAAAGGTAAAGCGGATTTGCTCAGTGATGATGACAAGACTCTTTTGATTCAAGCTGTTACTGAGCCCAAAGAGTGTCCAATGGATGTCCTACACATTTTTGCAACAAACAAACAGGTGGACACCCATAATGCAGCAGTTGTGGCCTCTTTAGGTGCAGTAACAGTTGATATCCAGGCAGAGGACTACAAAAGAATTACAAAGACCGGAAACATGATTAACCTGGGCTGTTGCATAGCGGGCAACAAGCGAGACTTGTCTAACAACATACAGGCTGGTTTGGGTTTTAGAGTAATGATTATAAGAAACTTGGATGTAGAGGACGGTCTTGTGAATGGAACATTTGGCACCATAGCTGATATTGTCACCAGTACCAAAGACGGAAAGACTAGCGTAAAGTTAATTGGACTTAAATTGGACAATCCTCTTGCTGGACATACAAAAAAGATTCGGGGTAAACCAGATGGCTTTGTTTATATTGAGAGATTTGAGGAACAGAGTAGCGTAAAGGGAGTGGTACGACGGCAATTTCCAATTAGGTTAGCCTTTGGTTGTACAGCACACAAAGTCCAAGGAATGACTATGAAGTCTGCAGTCATTTCTTTGAAGCGCATTTTTGAACCTGGTATGGCATATAGCTCTCAGTCGCACAACTTCCCTGGAAGGACTTAAAATCATTGATTTCGATGAAAATAAGATCTACGCTGATGAAAATATTAGAGCAGCGATGGAATCAATGAGACCAGCATCGTTTTTGCACACCAGACCACTCTTGCATTTTCAGTCAGGTCATCAGGGTGCAACATTAACGATTGTCCACCACAATGTCGAAGGCCTTGTCTGTCACTCTGAGGACATGAAACAGCATCATGAACTCATGTTGGCAGATGTCTTATGCCTTACGGAGACTCATTTGTTTGGATCTTCTGTTCCAGCTTCCTGCCAAATGGAGGGCTATTCTTTTTTTTCACGGAACAGACATGTCTCCTACTCGAACAGAGTCGACATTGCCACCAAAGAGGGTGGGGGAGTAGCGACTTACTGCCGGAGTCTTCTCCAAGCGCAGGAACGGAGATTCTTTAACGAGGTTACAGATCTTGAATTTAACGTTGTCAAAGTGGACACCCCAATCAGTGCAGTCATCGCGACAGTTTACAGGCCACCAAGTTATGATCTTGGAACATTTTTAAGAAATCTGCAAAGCCTCTTGGTTGGCCTGAATTCAATGGCTATTCATCCCGTTGTCGTATTAGGAGACTTTAATGAGGACCTTATTCCTCCTGGGAAAAAAGCCATTAATCAGTTGTTTAGAGCCAAAGGGTTTATGCAACTTATCTCTGATCCAACCACAGAAAAACGTACTCTGCTTGATCATATTTACATCTCTCATCCAGAATATTGTGTCAAATCAGGTGTCTTGCAGACTTACTACAGCTATCACAATCCTACATACTGTGTGTTGGCTTCAGTATAAGTTGCATCTACAGTGGCTTGCAAAAGGAGTCATGTTCCTTTAAGTTTTCCATATTTTATCACATTACAACCACAACTATGGAAAAACAGTGAGGAGAAGTATTTGTTTATTTTTGCAGGTATATACTAAGTAATACACACTTTTCAGTTTATTTGCAAAAAAAATCTGTCATATTTTTAAGCCTCCCTGGTAGAGTCTATTCTGGAGTTCTGGAAAGGAGGGTCATCAAGATTCTGGAGAATGGATGGGAGTTCATCCAAACAACCTACATGTGTTTTATGGACTTTGAGACGGCATTTAACAGGGTCCCTCTGGGAATTTTGTGGGGGGTCTCCTGGAGTTTGGTGTCCAAGTCCTGTGATACGGACTGTAAGGTTTCTGTGTAACCTTACAGAAATGTGGTCTGCATTACTGGCAGTAAGTGAGGCTCATTTCTGCTTAGAGTTGGATTCTGCCGAGGAAACAAGCCCGACTCTGCCGGCAATGCACACCACTCTCTGACACCAGTCATATGGGGACCTAACAGCCTGTATCAAAGGACCTGGGACCCCATAATCCCAGAGAACCCACCCCTTGCTCCCCGAAGGAGACAGTCGAACTTCTTCTCCAAGTCCACAAAACACCTGTAGACCAGTTGGGTGAACTCCCATGCACCCTACAGGACCCTGCTCAGGGTACAGAGCTGGTCCACTGTTAGATGACCAGGGCAAAAACCACACTGCTCTTCTTGAATCTGACTTTTGACTATCCAATGGTCCGTCCTCTCCATGAACCCCAAATAGACCTTATGAGGGAGGCATCACACCCGCCAGACCTCCTTTTTGAACAAATGCCGGGAACACTGAATCAAACAGTCTCACTTATCATAAGGGTTCTACGTTATGGGTCTTTCATATTACATTTGGATGAAATATATTTGTGGTTGCAATGTAACAATATGGAACAGTTCAAGGGGTATGATTACTTTGTAAGCACTGTACATCTTAACCCTGAAATCATGACATGAAAATCTTTTTGGAGAAAATGTTAGAATCTCTCGTCATTTTTAATGTCACTTTATGTGACTGTTTGCTTTCGTAAATATGATAGCGTGGATCGTTTTTCTTGATCATTGTTGCAGTGGATTTTATATGTATTTATTGTACACATTTGTGAATTATGGTGTATGCTTGTGGATTTGTTGTAGACATAAGAGATTTTTGTACACTTTGTGAATCTTTTCAACACTTATTTACTTCCGTAGAAAAGAGGCTTCATAAACTGGTTTTGTACTTGCACATGAAAGTTTGTTTGAGTTTTGTGAATACGAAAGTGGCTGATCTTGAAACACTTATCGGTTCACTGTCAGAGTAGTTGCTGGAAATGTTGCACCAGGGAGCAGTAGATAAGACAATCAGTTACTATATGTATATTCTGTTCTATTTGAAATTAAAAAGATTTGAAATAGGGACCATAAAGTTTTCCTAATTTTTCTAATACAGTTAGCATAAATTTTTCCCTTCAAATAAGCCTAAATTTTTTGCGGAACTACGTTTTTATTCTTCACCGTTTGCGTCACTTAATTAAAGCTCTCCTTGTTTCAATCTCTCCTCAGTCACACTGAACTTTTTAATGCTGCAGCCCCCTAGTGGCTACCTCATCATCACTTAACAAGCAGGACAAAATTTCGGCTCACTTTTGTCCTGTTGGACTCCCTCCACCTGGTGAGAATTTGTTTGGTTTTGGTGGAATTAACCCTTTGTTCTCCCAGTTTTAGTCTGTTTTTGCAGGGTTTTCCACGCAAAACGATCCTTGGAGGCTGCCAAGAAGACAGAGAGGAAACAAGACCTTGAGGTTTGGCCCATAAGATGTAGAAAATTTATCTAAATTGTAGCAACCTTACAAGTTGTTACTTTTTTGTTGTTGGTAATAGCTGTCTATTGATGGAATGACTTCTGTGTGTTTTCAGTCCAGGAAATCCTCACCTACCTCATGGACTTGGGCCTCATACAATCTGAGGAGATGGAGTTCTTGTTTCTTTGAATGTTCCAGGTGGTGCAATCTGACCAGGTAAGTACATAACAAATGAAGGCTAATTTATTTGCCAATTTTGTTTATTTTAACTTGAGATTGATGACGTTGTATATCTAAGTTTGATAGGAGGAATCCAGTGGATGTATGCCCTTTTTTCTTGGGTCATATTGGTATTTATGTCTGTTAATCATTCTGAAATGTTTAAAAATGTCATGAATACTAATTTGTTTTTTGTCTGTTTTTTTTTTACTACAGAGTCTGTGATGTCACATAGATTGGATGCCAAATGAAAGCTTTGGAGCAGCGTTTTTTTTTTTTTTTTTTTTTTTTTCTACAGTTGTAAATAGTTTTTCATGTATGTACATATTTAAAATAGTTTCGTGTAAGAATATAGTTTAATATATGTTTCATGTATGTATATATGTATAATAGTTTGATATTTATGACAAGTTGATCATCGTGGCAAAGCCATGTTTCACTTGTGAGATTAAATCTGTCAGGCCTTACCTTGACACTCAGGCAACAACCCTGAGTGCCACACGGCCGGACAGGACACATGTAAAAAAAAAAAAAAATCGTTTTTTTGCAGAGGCATCATGTTCTGAAATTTATTGTAATCTTTAAATGTTGTAATTTTGGTTCATTATAATCTTTACCTGTAAAAAGTTTGTAGAAATCTTTAATATGACTTCAATATATATTTTTAAACTGTGATCAGTTGTGTGTGTGGGTTTTTTCATTAAAATTTTTTGTCACTTATGAATTACATTCATTTGCCTTAAGTGACAATAGTCACTAATGTATATTTAAAAATATTTTTTTGATTTCAAAGAAAAATGAAATAAATAAATAAAATTATAATATTATTTAACTAGTGTTATTATTGTATTATAATAATATTAATAGCATTTAGGCTTACATTAGCATTTTGGCTAATTTTAGCTTGTACACTAATTTTAACATGTTAGTCAACATGCTTGTGATTCTCCACATGCTTATTTGTAATGGCTCTAACACTGGTTAGCAAAGTTTTTGACTAGCGGGCCAGAATGGGTAATTTGACAGAGAGGCCAGGAGCATTTGGACATGCAATGTAATGTATTAAACCTGGGTATTGAAATGTATGGAAAAACAGACACAATTGAAGGTGCAAATTTAAAAGAAATCAACAGTTAGTGGAAAAAGATCAATGGAATCACTTTCAAAATATATATTTAAGAACATATTGTAATGATGCCAACACTGCAGCTGTAGTCCCGTCAAACAGGGTTTATTAGAAATAAGATTAAGAGCTGCTATTATTATGGCTGCAGCCCCTAACAAGCTGGTTCACTCCGTGACAACCGAACGCTCAACCGCCCTGTTGCTCCCACCCCCACCATCATGACAGACCAATCACGTGTGAGTGGAAGTCGGCTGATTCAGAGGAAGTAAATAACGCTAAATGTAACAATAAGGAACACATTGTAATTATAACACATAACCATGTGGAACCCAGCAGAACTAAAACAATCGTTTCAATATTATTACCCAATGAAAGAAAGGGATCTTTAAATTGAGAGCGATGTGCGGTATGTTAATTAAGCTACTGAATCACTGCTGTGCGTAAATGTTAGAGTTGCTATTTTTTTTCCATAACACACTAGAGAAACACATCTCAGTGGGAACAGTGTTGTTCTTCCTTTTTTCCAGTGCATCAAAGTCTGGAGTTAGTTTTGTTGTGGCAATTCTCAGAACAGATCTGAGGTGTTGGTCAGTTAACCAGGATCTGTGATGAGCTTTGTTGATGTTTATGACGCTGAAAATCTGCTCACACATGAAGGTGAAGCAAACAATGCCATCTTCTGCGGCATCCACCGGAAGTTTTGGAAATGTGGCTTCGAAATAAAAGTCTTTCAGTTTAAGAGATCTCAACTTCTCTTTTGAGATGGTATCAGTCTTCAGTCTTTTACCTTAAATGAGGTATCAGCTATTTCCCTTACTTGTTACCCATGTTTAGTATACTGAATGGAGTAAGCCAGGCTTGGACTCTCCACATGCTATTGATGACATTGCAGCGATCTTTAGCATGGATGCTAATGTTTAGCATCAGAATGCTGGGTCCAAACGACGGGCACACTTTGGCAGGGCCCCGGTTAAATTTCTTCAGGAATTTTCTAGTTATTTATTATTCTTCCGTAGACCGGAATGCGGCTCGCACCGCTGCGAGCCCACCCACAAAAGTGGTATCAAAACGTGCGGCTTGTTCCCGGCATTGGAGCTATTACTTTTATGGGGAATCGGCGTTACGACGGCGACGTAAAAAGCGAAAAACGAGCGAAATTTCCAACTGCCGAAACGCAGAGCATAACTGCCACCAACTGCCGCTCCGCTAGAGTGAAAAATGAAGTGAATTTCTGACCCCAAATAAATTTTGAAATCGCCGTCACGCCCACAAATATCGTGCAATCGGTCTCAAACTCGGTCATGACATAGATACGAATGTCTGCTCCGGTAAAATGTTTTCAAATTTTTCTAGGGCTTACGGTTTTTTGTCAAGGTGCTTTAGAGCAAAATCAAGTTCCAGCCTAACTGACGCTCTCCACCATATATTTTCATACTTTTCTGGAAAATTTCAGACCTCAGCGCACACCATTTTTCTCTCATCGCTGTAATTACTATGAATGAGCTACAGATAATTTGCAGGACTATCGGAGACAAAAAATAGCTCTCTCATATGCTTCAAACGGTTCTCCGATACGTATCACGGTTCCCGAACGGCAAGGAGTTGTTCGGGCTGCTTTTTCCATTATAACTGACTGAGCTGTCTCACAAAGATAGAAATCTGTCTCTGCCTCACACACATGACAGTTGACCTCTTTAGAACTACAATTCCTGAAGGTTAGAACTACAACATGGCGGAACACTCAGTGTCTACAAAAGAGGTCAGAGCTGATTGTCAGAACTACAACATGGTGGAACTGTCAGTTACTACTGAGGAGGAATGAGCTGGCCTTTAGAATTACATTGTGTTTTGGGCTTTTTATAACTGATTTTAAGCAACCATTGTTACACACAGGATTAGTATGTGAATTTTAAATTAAGCTTAATGAAAATTTCAAAATGAAAGCTTGAATATTTCTCTCAGGCCTTTCAGAAAAAATAACTTCTTCAAGCATTTAGAATTAAGTCTCTCCTTGTGTGTCACACTGACATGATAGTTGACCTTCTCCTTAGAACTACAATAACTGCAGGTTTGGACTACAACATGGCGGAACAGTCAGTGCCTACAGAAGAGGTCATAGGTGAATATAAAAACTACAACATGGTGGAACTGTCAGTTACTACTGAGGAGGACTGAGCTGCTCTTTAGAACTACAATTCCTGATTGTCAGAACTACAACATGGTGGAACTGTCAGTTACTACTGAGGAGGAATGAGCTGGCCTTTAGAATTACATTGTGTTTGGGCTTTTTATAACTGATTTTAACCAACCATTGTCACACACAGTATTTGTGTGGAAATTTTAAATTAAGCTTAATGAAAATTTCAAAATAAAATCTTGAATATTTCTCTCAGGCCAGTCAGAAAAACTAACTTCTTCAAGCATTTATAATTAAGTCTCTACTTGTGTGTCGCAATGACATGACAGTTGACCTCCTCTTTGGAACTACAATTCCTGAAGGTTATAACTACAACTTGGCTGAACACTCAGTGCCTACAGAAGAGGTCATAGGTGAATATAAAAACTACAACATGGTGGAACTGTCAGTTACTACTGAGGAGGACTGAGCTGCTCTTTGGAACTACAATTCCTGAAGGTTAGAACTACAACATGGCGGAACACTCAGTGCCTACAAAAGAGGTCAGAGCTGATTGTCAGAACTACAACATGGTGGAACTGTCAGTTACTACTGAGGAGGAATGAGCTGGCCTTTAGAATTATATTGTGTTTGGACTTTTCATAACTGATTTCAAATGGTTGTGTAACAATCATTTGATACACACAGGATTAGCGTGGTAATTTTAAATTAAGTTGAATTAAAATTTCAAAATAAAAGCCCTGACATACTTTTATATTAGGGAATTGCTCTCTTGGGGATTATGTGACTTTTTTTTTAACAAAACCACTGTTACACTTTGGATTATTTTGGACAGTGAAAATGAAGCTTACTGAAAATTTCAAAATAAAAGCCTTAAGATTCCTTTCTGGCTCATGCCTATTTTAGGGAGAATGGCTGCCTCAAACTGATAGAATTAAGTCTCCCCCTGTCTGACTCACAGCTGGCAGAGGATCCATTACCATGGCAACGGAACACAAAGGGGCCAGCTGATTAGGACTACAAAAACGCATCACTGTAGTTCTAACTATGGCAGAACTCAGAGAAAAAAGCTGAACTTTAGAACTGCTTGTGTTTTGGGCCTTTTATAACCATTTTTAACCAACCATTGTTACACATGGAATTAGTGTGAAAATTTTAAATTAAGCTTTAAAAAATTTTCAAAATAAAAGCCTTGACAATTTTCCCATCAATTAAGTGCTCTTTTGACCATTATATGTCTGATTTAACCAAATCACTGTTATACATGGGATTACATTGACCATTTAAAATGAAACATTCTGAACATTTCAAAATAAAAGCCTTAAGATTCGGCCGTGGCTAATGCAGCGCCGCAGGCGCTGCAATGATATTAGCTTGCATTATCTTTTCCTCTCAAGTTAGGGCACTGTCTTGCGCAGCAAGACAGTGCATTAGCATTAGCACAAACATTAGCATTTCTCTGTTTCCCACCAGTGCACTGCCGTAGGCAGTGCAATAAGATTATCCTGCATGATCTTTTCCACTCAGGTTAGGGCTCTGCCTTGCACAGCAAGGTAGAGCATTAGCATTAGCCTTTTACCTTGCATGAGGTATTAGCTATTTTCCTTACTTATTACCCATATTTACTATACATGCTTGTGACTCTCCACATTATATTGATGACATTGCAGCATTCTTTAGCATGGATGCTAATGTTTAGCATCAGAACGCTGGGTCAAAATCGACGGGCACACTTTGGCAGGCCCCGGTTAAATTTCTTCAGGAATTTTCTAGTTGGGGCCTGCCCATAGCAATGCATAAGGAGACAGTGACTGACTTGCGAAGCAAGTCAGTCACTGCCTCCATGCATTGCATGGCAGGCACCTATTAATCTTCACCCAATAGAATGTCTCTTTATTATTATTATTGGGGCCTGCCCATAGCAATGCATAAGGAGAGCAGTGACTGACTTGCGAAGCAAGTCAGTCACTGCCTCCATGCATTGCATGGCAGGCACCTATTGTTCTTCACCTAATAGAACGCCTCTTTATTATTATTATTATTATTATAGAACTTTATTTTTCTTCCGTAGACCGGAATGCGGCTCGTACCGCTGCGAGCCCACCCACAAAAGTGGTATCAAAACGTGCGGCTCGTTCCCGGCATTGGAGCTATTACTTTTGGTGGGATTCGGAGTTACGATAAAAAAGTAAAAAGCGAAAAACCATCAAAAAATTCTTGTCAGTTAGAAACTGCCCAAACTAGAGTGTAACTGACGTTTCGTTAGAGTGTGGGAAGCAGTGCGATTCTGACCCCAATAAATTTTGAAATCGCCATCACGCCCACAAATATCGCCCTATCGGTATCAAACTCGGTCATGACATAGATACGCATGCCTGCTCCGGTAAAATGTTTTCAAAATTTTTCTAGGGC